GGTGATTGCTCACTCCACCTTTTTTAAGGACTGTTGAGATGTACTCTTAGCTGTATTTTTAACAATATTTTTAACCGGAAGGTGGTTGGGAGTCTTCACAAAATATGTTATCTGAAAATGCATGTGAATTATCTGAAATTTTTATCTTGTAGAACTTTTTAAAATATGTGTTTTTAAAAACTGCATAACAGGGTGTAACTGTTTTGTGAAGGTTATTTATAGAGAAACTGCTTTATGTATTTCATATGGGCATTACTTGTACTTCAAAATCTTTTATTGTCAAGCGAGCTAGTACATGCAGTTTCTGTCCGCTTTCTTGGCAGATTTTGAGCTTCAATTGTTTTTTTTCCTTTGCAATTACAGTGCAATATAGTCTTTAGGACAAAAAAAAGGGGCGTGGGGAAACGAGGGGGAAAAAAAAAAAGAGAACCCAACCAAAGCCTAGCACCATCCTAGTTTATTTTCTAATTGTCCTAAGGAAGCATCTCCCTTCAATGCAATTGCAAGTAGTCCGTAGAGAATCCTTTACTCGCTACTGTGATCTTAAGATTTGTCTTTTTTGGCCATTAATTGTGGTGAGAAGAGTTAGTTTGTTTTACCTGTGATTAACAGCTCCCTAAAGTAGTGCTTCCCTTAATCCAGTGATTTTGGGTGTTCAAAGAGTCCTTTGGTGAAGTAATGCTGGAGTTGTCCACGTGGTGAGCGGGAAAGGGTTTTTCTTTAGTAAACTGCTTTCTGGGTTAAGACTGATTTTTAACCTGCAACATATTTCTAGCTGGCGTATTTCTGTTAAATTGATTAAGATACAAACGTATTTCAGCAAAGTTTATGTAGTACATCAGAAAAGAGCAAATGTTGTTTTCTTTTAATGTGAATAAGGTCATGAGCTCCTCTCTCATTAGGCTTTTTTCTTTTTGTACCTGAGAGAATCTTTCTTTTAGGAAAACTTTCTTTTTGATTTTGGCATATGCTTCTTACCTGACCAAGCAACAATGGCAGGTTTCAGTTGTATCTTGGTGAAATTTATTTTCACCATTTCTTTGAGAAATGTTTCCTTCAGTTCAGTTGCCACTGTTCAGACAATAAAAAGGACACTTTCCATCACTGAAACAAGCTGGCTTTACATCGGCTCCTAGGAAGAGCATTGTGCAGATGGCCTTCATTTTGGCCTGTTTGTTCTTGCAGATCATTATTTGTTGTATTGATTGTTTATGCCATGTGTTTACCCTGGCATAATTTTTGAAAGAGCTGCTGTTGTGCAGCAGTGCAGTGCACAGTGCGTCCATTCACCGGGTAAATCGCCGCCGTCCATCAGCCGGTGGAAGAGCTGCCCCTGTTCGCTGCTGGCCCAGCAGCAGCATGCTCTCCATGCCCTGAGTGGTTCTGGTCCCACATACTGGGATGTTTTCTGTAGCGTTGGTCATGTTAACTGCAGTGTTACTGGTACTCAGACCTCCACCCACACAGAACAGAGAGCCTCTCCCCCAGGAAAACAGTTAGAAATGAAGTTTAAGGAGAAGACAGAGCAGATGGTGCTGATCAAGCACAGGGCATGGTGATCATTGGTTTGTGGAGGACTGGACACTTATTTCCTTATCCCTCTATTTTCCCACACTCGTCCTTCCCAACCTGGAATACTGCATTCAGCTCCGGAGTCCCCAACACAAGAAGAACATGGAGCTGCTGGAGCAGGTCCAGAGGAGGGCTACGAAGATGATCCGAGGGCTGGAGCACCTCTGCTATGAAGACAGGCTGAGAGAGTTGGGACTGTTCAGCCTGGAGAAGGGAAGGCTCTGGGGTGATCTTATTGCAGCCTTCCAGTACTTAAAGGGGGCCTACAGGAAAGCTGGAGAGGGACTTTTTACAAGGGCATGGAGTGATAGGACAAGGGGTAATGGCTTTAAACTGAAAGAGGCGAGATTTAGATTAGATATAAGAAATTTTTCACTCAGAGGGTGGTGAGGCATTGGTACAGGTTGCCCAGAGAAGTTGTAGGTGCCCCATCCCTGGAAGTGTTTGAGGCCAGGTTGGATGAGGCTTTGAGAAACCTGGTGGAGGGTTTCCCTGCCCGTGGCAGGGGGGTTGGAACTAGATGATCTTTGAGATCCCTTCCAACCCAAACCGTTCTATGATTCTATGATTTCTCCCTTTCTGCTTCACAGCTCTTACCATGCCGAATTGTTGTTCATTGCACCGCATGGTAGGTGTTCAAGACCCATATGCAGTAACAGCCCTCAGTTGGCAAGGTGCTCTGGAGAGACTTTCCATTTCCTCACCGTGATGGGTCTCACACTGGCCACGGGGCTGACGGCTCTCCTGGGACAGCCCACTGAATATTTGGGTTTTCCCACTCACTGTGGGTCCTCTGTGTGCCTTTGTATGTGGAAATGAGCCTCTACCACATCACCTAAACGTTTTTCACCTTGTTGAGAGATGTGTATCATATGTAAGAATTTTTTCCTTATGTCATGAAGGACAATAGGAGAAATACACCTCGGATGCTTTTTGTTGACTTGCACACTCTCTGTGTTGTGTCTTAGCAATCTAAGTTAAAGTATTGAGAGAATTTCAGTGCCAACAGCATTTCACCTGCCCTATCCTTCTACCCTTAAAAGAAAAAAGGACATTTTGGTGAGATGCTGTCAAACCATAAGCATTATTCCATTCCAAGTGCAAGATTCCCTACTGAGCAATGCGAATGAAAAGCTGAATATTATAATTTCTCTTGAAATCTGCTTTTCTTAAGTCACTGTACTTCATGATGGGGCTTTAACTTTCACTTGATTTCTTCTCTAAAGTCTAAAATTTGTTGGGCAGTCCTTAATCTATTTTAATGCCAAAAAAATTTATTAAATGTTTACCAGTGTCATTTTCAAAAATAACATCTGCATCTTTAATATAATAATATAAAGTATGGCTATCCAAATTAAACCAAAGTGTTAGCTTGCCCTTAATTGGCTAAATAAACATGGTCATCTCTTTTTTTCTTTTTTTCCCTGCCCAGAATTAGCTAGTGAGATGTTTGTTTCAAACACGTAGCTTGCTGTTGTCAAAGTTTGCAGCAGGTGCAAAAATGAAGTGCAGCAAATGTTGCTGTGAAAACCCAAGTCTTTCTTCGACTTCAGCAGATGTAGAGTGGGAAGAGTCAAGTAAATGAGAAATCAGTGTGATGAAATGAAATTTATGCCACATTTCAAATTTGACATCATTGGTTTAGGCCTGAAGTGAAAACAAATGAAAACAGCAACCGTGAAGTGAAAACTACTGCCCCGACGTGCCTGAACGTTCTTGAGTTATCTTATTAAAGATTTGTGGGGTCCTTTGTTTGTTTGTTTGAAGGGAAGGATTTTGAAGTCTTCCTCAAGCTTTTCTTTCTCCCAATGCTTTCTACACTTTGCCCACTTGTTTTCATGAATAACAAGATGACGCTCCTACCACAGAACATTAGCTCTTACTCAGTTTTTCTTAAATTTGCTTTCTTCTGCATATTAATGGCATTGAAACGTGTGGTTTATGCAGTGCTGGATACAGCTTGCTTGGCTATTGACTCTGGTTGCCTGGAATACACTTAAATGCTGACTTAAGAGAGGGGGCACACATGTAGTGATGGAAGAGCTGCTCAGGCACTGCCTTTACATTTCCGTCTGCCTAGTTGCTAGAAAAACATGTCAATTTGGGTTAATAAATGCAGGAAATAAGATCAGTTATGCTAACAATCTAAGAAAAACAGAATAATGAAACTGGGTTGGCTTTTCTTTTTCCTGACCTTTCACAACTGTTTCATGATATGTAGTAAGTATTGTGGCTACGTGACACTTGCAACTTAATACATAGTCTGAATTCATAAATATTTTATGATTTATTAAATCACCATTTGTGATTATCTACTGATCTAATAGGTAGACAGTCTACACGTCAGAACTTGCCCAAGCTAGTCCTGCAAGCCTGTGGGAAAACCCTCATTGTGTCAAAGATACAACCCTGAAGCTTAAAAATAGACATTTGCTTCTCAAATGGAATTTGCTACTCTTCCAAATTTGTTACTCACTGAGTCATGCTCAAATACAGTGACTTCATCTTTACTGGATAGAGTTGAAGCTGTTCAAATAATTTGCATTAATTTTGACTCCATCATATGCAAAAAATGTGCCTGAATACAGGTGTATACATTCACACACTTTTTAAAAAAGCCCAACAATCTCTTGCTCAGAACACAGTATGTTTGTCACAAAAATAAGTGAAACTACTGTACATAGAGAGTTGTGCTTAGCTGTACTTTTAAATTAATTTGTAAATGTCAGGAATGAAGCAGTTCTTTCAGTGTAAAGTAGCTCTAAACTCTGAACAAGTCCAATCTTTTTTAAGGCTTAACAGACAAGCGTTTTATTTCAAACTTTTATTTGTTATAGCTCTGCTTGCATATATAAAATATAATAATCTGTGTAAATAGATTTACAGTTTAAGTATCATATGTTGCCTTTTTTGTGATGACTAAAAACGATTAAAAATAGCACTCAGGACTTTGGATTTTCTAGGTTGTCAGCCAAACAATTTTGATGTCTCTTAATTATTGATTTTGTGCCTGAAAGTAATTAATGGTATAAAACCAGATCTCAATTTCTCGAAATTCAATACAATCCACTTACTCCATGATGTTTTAAACTTCAGGCCAGCCTGAAACAAGTGTGAGGTAGAGGTTTTGTACTGGTATGCCACAGCTTGAACTGTCAGAAGAAAATCAATAAATAAATGAAAATTTCTTCAGAGAATCTATAAAAGTGTTATCTGAATTTTTCAAAATTGTTCATCAGGTTTTAGATTTGACTGATGAAATTATGATCCTGTAATGCCTTATTTTATATGTATAACTTTATGGTAGCAATAGCTTTTTTTATGATTATCCCCAAATCTGTCTGATCCTATTAATCTCTGTCAGGAAGTAATTGTCTAGATCTGTACATTAAAGAACTTGATTTTTTGGTTTTCTTATGTGCTTTTAGGTGAGTTGTGTAACCTCATAACGCTGGATGTAGCGCACAATCAGCTCGAACACCTTCCAGAAGAGATTGGAAGCTGCACGCAGATCACCAACCTTGACTTGCAGCACAATGAGCTCTTGGACCTGCCAGAAACCATAGGTATGTGAGGAGGCTGGAGAAGAGAAAATAAATCACTATTTCAAAATGTTCAGTAAGAGGAACAAAGTAAGAGTGAGTAGTTGGTTGGTCACTGTGGAATGACTGGTGTTCAGCTCAAGACAGCTTCACGCTTCAGATGAATAGCAAGTGTGTGTGTTACCTTAAATGTAGTTTCTAGCTTTCTGAATTACGTTATTAAATCTAACTGTGCTGCAGAGTGCAGCATTGTCTAAGAATGAGTGTTATACGGAAAAAAAAATCCATCACTTATAACTCTGATTTAAGGTGTTCTGTGGTTATGAATAAATATCTACAGCTTGTCTGTCCATTCTGTAATGAAACTGAGCATATAAAAGAATAACAGACTAAAAGACGTAGTTGAAGTGGAATACTTGGCAGATTCTTTGGCTAAAGGGAAACAGAGCTGAAAAGATAAACGTTTTAAATGAATTCTGTGTATTTTATGCTTTTCCATAGAACAACTAAAAAAACCTTGCAAGGTCAAAGTCCATGTTCTAATGCCATAAAATACAGAGGATTTGCAGCTTGGATTGGGAGTAAGACTGAAATAAATACTGTCCTGATCGGTTTCAGAATCTCATATAGGATGAAACAACAAAATATGACTTTTCCTAGTTAATTAAATCAGTTTTAAACAGATGGCAGAGAAAGATGCATGCTGTGGTTTAAAAAGACTAAATCAAGGCCATTATGATTTTAAGCTCTAATTTGTCACCAGAATATACTCAGAAGAATGAATGTTATCACTTAAACAATATTTATTTTGAACATTTTCTTAATATACTTTAACTTATAGTAAAGTGAATGAGCAGAAGAGTGAGGAACCACTTAACAGCACTCCAGCTTTTCTTCTAGCAGCAAATTGTTGAGTGTAGAGCTACTGTGGCTTTTTGTTTAGAAAGTTTGACCTGAACAGGGTTTACACTGATGAAATATCCACTGGAGCTAAACTTCCTTCCTGGATTGATGATATTTTTAAACGCTGGAGATGTTGTTCCACCTGGAATTTGCATCTAACTTACACAATTCATAAACACGGCCTTTATGTTTGTAGCTATTTTGTAAATCTTACTGAAAGTTGTTTTAAATAAAATTTATACGTAGTGGACGTGTCATATTTAGGAAGTGAGTTCTCTGGATAAACTGCTCATTATGGCAAATGTTCTCTAAGCAAGTGTGAGATTTCTATTATAGTTAGGTCTTATAGACCACTCTTGTTGATTCTTGTGTAGAATAGTGATACAATTTACTGAGTTGTTTAGTGACTGGCAGTCACTGAGCTTCTCAGAGAACCACAAAAATCTCCTTTATGTGTTGCAGGCCTGTGCTTACAGGGAAAAGTCTTTGGGTAGGAGCGGCTCAAAGTTACGTAGGCAGTTAAGTCATTTGTGACAGATAGTAAATTGCTGACTGTGCAATCAAGACAGTTTGGACTCATCTGTTTCTTCAGAAAGTTATTGTAAGTTTAGGTGGTTTGTATTGAGTCAGGCTCATACCTGGCTGAACTGCATTTCTGCCTATTTGTTTTGTTTTTCCATTGCATTGTCTTCATAGTGTGTTGAAGTTACTTATTTTTAAATGTATATAGCTGTCTCTTTACGTGCTTATCTGAGCTGAATATCAATGCTGTACAGCTCAACAAACCACCGAAGACAGATGACTAATTGTTAAGAGACAGCAGTGTGCTGTTGTGTCTTTAAACTTACACTGGCTCAGTTTTTGCTCCGCTGGAAAATACCTGTTGTTTGTATTGACCATTGTGTAGTAGCTGAGCATTTCTGTTTAGAGCAGAAACTTAAGATTAAAAGGTATTTATGCCACATATAGTTCACAAACAGCCGCAATTGAATACTGAAGGGAAAAAATTTCAACTTCTGCCTAAATGATAATGATCAGCCTACATTTATGTATGTTCCAGAAAAGGCAGCCGTAGCCAGTTCAGCAACATTGGCTTTATTTCTTAGTCATTGCAGTTTTGGTTCGACATTAAAGCAAGTTGTGGCTTGATTTTTAGATTACAGTTTGCTTTGTGGTTAGGATTGTTCAGTAAGAGACTTTGAGTACTGTGAAAAACCCAGCGAGTAAATGGCGCGTGGCTGCCTGGCGTGCGTCACTCGGCGCGGCTGCGGGACGGCCGTCCCAGCCTCTCCATCTCTCGCTCCAGTTTCTGCCTCTTCCATACTCGTGGATATCTGACCAGTGTTTGGCACAACTGACTTTTCTTGGAACATTTACACACTGCCAGATTTCAGTACGGTTAATATATAAATGCTGTTAATGTTTCCCCAGTTCAGTCAAACCGGGGTGGGGGTCGCAGGCCGGGTACAAAAAGAACCAAGCACATTTGCTCATTATAAATATTTAATGAGCTATGAGCCGGTGAGCCTCCTATTAGTGAACAGACTTTCCATTACTGCCGGGTCTGTCCTCTCCTCCCCTGACACCCTTTTGATGCAGGCCTGGGGTTTTTTTTTGAGAGGGGGATGTTTTTGTCAAGCTGCTTTGAAAAACAAACAGCCCCCTTCCTTTTCTATTTCTTCCTCCCCTCCAAAAGGACCACTTCCCTCCTTTCCCCACTCAAAATTCTTGCAAAATGCTTCTTAAATTGACTGCTGGACTACCTAACCAACTTTTGATTTTACTACGGAAAGATTTCTGGACCTGCCAATAAAAAAAAAAAAGAGAAAAGGCTTGTTTTCTAACTAACAGCCCTGTCCTGAAACGTGGTGGAGCTGTGAGGAAGGGATGTTAGAGGGTGACATGCAGGGGAGTGGCAGGGAAGGGATTATGCATCAGCAATGATTACAGAGGTAGCCGAGCCAATATACCCACTCTGTAAAAATACAAAGTTTTGTTTCAACTGACACTTTATAAGCACGCTTTCGTGCAGTAACAAATGTCAATTTTAGATATTAGTTGTCAGGAAGTGACCTAATGTCTTGCTTTACAGATATTGGCTTAATACATTCATATCTGTATTTCTGTTGATTGAAAATTGTAAAGTACTTTGTATATTAGATCACTTCCTGTAAGTAAAATGAGCTTTGTGGAACAGCTTAGCACGTTCCAACAGTCTCAAGTCTAGAATCAAAATCATAGTGGAATCTTAGCTGCTTAGTGTTTTAATGGCAGGTTTTCCCCTCGCCCCCATGAGTTTGGTTTGTTGTTGGGTTTTTTTTGTTTGATTGTTTTTTTTTTTTGAGGAGCAGCGAGATGTGGAAATTGTGATCTACTTTTATTTACACAATGTCTTATCTCTGTATACTTAGCTGGCACACTAATATATCCAAAAGAGATATAAAAGAAGGTGAAGAACATACCATTTATATTAAAATTAATAACTGGACTTTTGAGACAGAGAAAGCAAATTTGGGGTGGGGTAAAGTGTTTCTTTTCATTACAAGCAAGCTTAGAAAATTTTGTACTGCGAATACCACATTGTGATTGTGAGTATTCCCTCTTTGAACTTTTAATTTTAACATTCTGTACAAATATGTTCACGATTTCGTATTTAAAAGCACAGAAACATTTATTTGAGAAACAAATTCAACAGAAACAGAATTACAGCTTTTAAAAAAATCAGATTCTTAATCTGTTTTGTAATTTTCTAGTTTTGTGTGTTTACATGTGCAGTTTGATTATAGTCTAATGTGCCATATCCATGGACATTTAAGGCAACAGACATTTCAATAAGAAAAAGAATAGTCAGTTGTAAATGTTCCAAAATGATTCTTTAAAAGCACAAAAAATTCCATCACTGGACACACTTTCCAGTGTCTGACGTGGCACTGTTCCTAAAAGATGGTGAACAAAATGCGAGGCATATTCAAAGCCCTGCGCTGCACTCCTGCCCTTCGCTGCAACACATCAGCTCAGAAACTGAAATCACAACTCTTCTGAGAGCAAATATTATGTAGAGTAGCTTTGCCGTTTTTTCTGATGGAAATTGTGCTACAAACTAGGCTTCTAACCTGTTTAGCCCCAGCATACCTCTGAGAGCACTGCCGTGCTTGTAAAACATATGGTTGATAAAACATGAAGCATTGTGACCGGAACCGGGCGTATGCAATTGGTACAGCTCAGGTTATACAAAATGTGCTTGAGAGCTTTCAGTCCCTAGAAGTTCTAGTAAAGATATTTCTGTAGAAAAGTTGAACTACTTTAAAATGATATTTTAAGTTTCACAGGCTTAGGAAAAACTGGAGAAGTCTTATTTTGAAATGTCTGACGAAGGTACTGGTCCTGGTGAGACCCAGCAGAGCGCCTGCAGCTCCCGCGGTGCTCAGGGAGGGACTGATGGGTTTGACATTACTAATTACTTGCCATTCTGATGGAGCAAAGTGCCAAAGCTCCTGCTCCAGCTTTGATGGTAATATTCTTAAAATCTAAGCACATGACCTAACGCTTTGGTCTGTGAGCAATCAGTACTTCGCAGGATCAAGCCCGTTTCCATCGGCTCCCACTGGGAGATCTGATCAGCGTTCAGTGCTCTGTCTAAGGTTTTGTTCTTGGACTGTACTATTAATGAAACATTTTTAATTAGATTCTGCTAGTTTTGGGCAATCACAGTAAGCTCAACCTTTTCTTTATCTGGTAGAAAGCAGTTGCTCCCCCTCTTTTATTCTCATTTTTGGACTATTATAAGCCTTTGCTAGTTCTCATGGTGGTCTCATAAAGGGACTGAAGCTTCTGGTTCTTGTTGGCTTCAATTCTAGACTTAGTAAATACAAAGCAGTGAAACTGGCTAAAAAATAGTGAGTGGCAGGAGAGGGTAAGTGGGAAGTGACAGCTCACTGCCTCCCTCCTGGCGGAGCGGGAGCGATGAAGCAAAGCTGTGAGGTGTTGACCTCAAAACCAGTGAAAAGCAGACCCTACTGCATGTGAGAGGTAGAGAACGCTTGGGTGTCGGTGTTGGCACAGGTTGCTGTAGATGCTGAAAGCTCACAGGGCAATGTGACAATTATGCAGAAGAAAAATGT